TTAAATGCTACTTTTGATTGTTTCCATGCATGTGTTGATAACATTGGATAACAGGTTGAGACTCAATTAAAATTGCATTAGATAATTTCATTAGTTATCAGTGAAAAGTACAATAAAGCATTGTTCGTCTACATATATTTACACGTATATACCTACCTAAAATATTTTCATTTATGTGATTTATCAAGAAATTCAGAAACTCATGCGCATCTTGTTGCATATAATTATCAAATTCCTCTGTAAAAAATCATATCTATACTATACGTATTACATATACAATTATACATGCTACTGAATAAATAAGACTTCATAAAAAGTGGAAAAAGTCATATTACACTAACCTTTCTCTTTCCTTAACCTGGCAATAAACTTTTTGGGAGCTATAGACCCCACTTTCTTTTTTTGCGTTGCAATACTGTAAAACAAATCTGCTAAACATGTTAATAATGTTTCCTTTGTTCGCTTATTTCTAGCTTTATATTCAAGAACTTTTTCTCTAAATGGCCGACAAAAATATAATGCTTGTAATACAGAATTACTGTAACAGGTATTTCCAAACTGTAAAGAACATATAAACATTAGAATATTAGAAAAATTAAATATTATTCCAGTTATTCTAATACTTAATTTTTGTTATTTAAACAGAACATTTTTCATTTTATACTTACATTGACTAAACCAAAATAATGCTCATTAGGTGGAAATTGATCAGAGCCAATATCTCTCTCTAATTGTGATATATTTGCACCCTAAAGAAATATAAAATAAAAATTGTAAATTTAAGAAAGTAAAAGAAACAACTTTACTGTAATTTTTTATAGTTTAAAAGCATATTTAAGAAGCTTAAAATCACTTTATAATTACAATTTTAAATTATTTTTTGTTTAATAATATAGAATACTTGTTTTATTTGTTAGAATCTGTTAAAGTATACTTTTTTTTGAAAGAACATTAAATTTAATAAAATATTTATATATTTGCGACATTTAACGTTTACAATAAGTATTTGTGAAATTAATATAAATTTACATAAAAATTTTGGAATTATTTACATTTTTAATATACATATAATATTTTCATATAAATAAATCTAAAATTTCTAATAATTAAAGATTGCTTTTAATTATACCGTACTATTTGTTAAGCAATACAATGAGCAGGTTTAAAAAAGGCTTAAAAAAAGATAACATTTTAAGCATGCATCACATTGTCATCGAGATTGTACAATTATATGGAATAATTAAAAAGAATGTTATTCACAAAATATATTTAGCCTTACCATTTTATGATTTTATAGTTGAAACTGACCACTGACAAGCATGTAGCGTAAAATTTAGTAACAACAAAACCTCCATGGTATCTTGACTTACGATTTATTGGTTGAAGTATTATAAACGCATAATTACACGTAATTGCAACAGTAACAACAAGAATAATTATTCAGTAAGCTTGATCCTGCACTAACTTTATCAAAAAATGATTACATGTGTTATTTAATAGATATTTATTACCATTTACTTTAGATAGAGATTTGTCTCTCGATTACATTATGATTAGTTTTCGCGAAATGACCAGAAGCTGTCGTGTACTCAAACGCATTGAAAATAGTATCAATGTCAGTTATAAAATGTGATTTCGCAAAGAAAGATGCTCTGTGTAAAAAAAGTAATGATACTAAGAACAAATGAAGAACAAAAAGAAATAGCTCTTTTAGAATATGTATATAAAATATATCTATTGGCAATTTTATTCCGTATGTGAAAAATTTCATATAATATAATTTTACTGTTCTAAGTAAAAGATTTGGAATTTAAAATTTTTTATATGATTATGGAACTTATGGAATTGAATTATTTGAAGTTCTTTAATTAACCTTTGTTGGAAACAATACTAAAATATATTGACGGTTTACGTTATCAATTATTTCATAGCAAGGGTGCTAAATCGGTGCCCGCGGCACTCTAGTGACACTCCCCTCACGAAAAGTTACCTTCTCTATACCTACATTTACTAGTTGTACATTTGCACACTATACTTTAGTACCTACATAGATCCCTTAGAGGGCGCCACTTGTGGAGTTACAGGGTTTGCGATCCTAGGGGCATAACCCGAACTGGACAAATCGAGTCATTGCAGGGACGAGCGCCTAAATATGAAAGATAGAGGGTAAAACCCCTATCTTTGCGGTCCAACCATAGACCGTGAGAGACTAGTACCTCGAGGATTGGTGCCTGGTGTCTATGAGGATACTTCGGTCATCTGATATTGACTTCAAGGGGGTAGTGGTTTAAAGTTCACATACCGGACTAGGAAAACCCTTTTTCTCAGATCTCGGCGAGTGAATAGCGTCCCACCTGCTTCGGTACTAGTCAAGAAGCTAAAAAAAGTTTTGAAAAGTAAGCTCAGCGCTACCAACAGTCTACCACCACGGGACTCGTCATCCCCAGGAGGTAACGGTGGCAAGGCTTCGGCCTCGGTCGATTGAGCCTCATCTCAATCCCTCGTCCATGGAGGCCATCTAGTAAAACCTTCAGGTATATACCAGACGTAAAACTCGGGCATTTTCAATTAAACATTTTCAGTTTCACCTCCTTAAGTAGAGATAGTGGGGAAATGCTGTTGTAGGGACAAGCCTTCACACTGTTTTCGAGTTACTAGCGTGAGGGGAGTAAGTTAAATATTTCTGGTTTTGAATGTCGTAAACACGTATGAACACGTTTAAATTTGATGCTTTGACGAACATAGTTTATTTCTCTAACCTTCTTCTTTCCCGCCAATTTTGTGATAATTATACAGTTGTCAAAGGTGAAACAAAAATATTAGTATTATTAATGTAATGGAAGCACTGAAACCTGTCTCATGTGTTTTGATAATGTATGACAAGAGTAATGTAATCGAAAATGTCATGCTTTTATATTTTCAGATTTGTTACAAAATTGATTACAGTGTTGTATGAACTTTAAAAAGTTTATTTAAAAGTAAACCATTATTATAAATTATATTAATGAATAATGTTGCATTTTAAGTATTTTGTAAGTAATGATGAATATATATATATATATATATATATTAGATGATTCATTTCTTCGATAGTGCTCATGAAATTATTTTTTATTATAGTTATAGTACACATGTTTATATAAATATGTTTAAGTTTTACTACTTTCTAATACTATGCAGTACTAAAATAAGAGATCGTGATAT